GATTCCTGGATGTGCGATATCACACAATGCTCACATGCCACAAGGCTCAAACTAGGCATCCAAAGCCAAGCTGAATGTAAGAGTGCGCAAAAGGCAGGTGAGCTTACCACAGTCAAGCGCTGGCAGAGAACAGCTGCCGCGCCTCACCTTGTTTCACCTAGCCAGCTAACAAGTAAGGCGACCGGACACATTCCTAAGCATGCAGCCACGTCCCTCCCGCCCACCTGGCACGCCAGCGTCGCGACAATGTTCTGAGCGTGCACCAGCGACAGGTTGCCCAGGTAGTCCAGGCCGCCCTCCTGGAAGATCTGAGCGCCGGCCTTGAACCACAAAGCCTCACTGAACTGCACGCCGTTCTTGGACAGCAGCTTGGGGGTCACGCAGCCCAGAGCGCCAAGCATGGCCCAGCGCGCATGGATCAGCTCCAGCTCGCGGTAGCGCTTGAACGTCTCAGGGTCAGCAGACAGGCCGGCAGTGTCCCAGCCGTAGTCACCGGGGAACTCGCCAGTCAGGTAGGCAGGGGTGGCATTCTCGCTGTAGGGGCCTGTCCGATGTGGGCACAGAAGGGGAAAGCGAGCATACGGCGGCAGCGGGCTACTGAACGGCAGGTCACGAAAGGAGGAAAGGCACAACCTGTGCCCTTCATCGCAGCATGCATCACGCGATGTAAGCAAAGGACCGAAAGAGCAGCCTGAGCATAGAAACCTGACGCTGCGGCATGTTGCACCGAAAGGAGGAGCATGCAGGAGACCGACTGATTACTCCGGCCCTCTGATACACGCTACACCCGCTGTGTATCGGATCTTCTTCACAGGATAACCTACCGAGCCACTTAGCGCGGTTCGGGCCATACCACTCGATGCCAGAGCTCTTGGGGGCAGCCGGCTGTAAAGATGGCACGCTGATAAAATAAATGGTGTCGAATTAAAACGGACCTTAGCAGCGGCCTTCTTGCCGGTCGCCTTGCATGCGACCTGCAGAGCCTTGCGAGAGGTGGTGAGAGCGAAAGCCATTTGAGATGTTCGTAAGGTGATCAGACTCTGCTGCACAAAGGAGAGAACTGATACTGGAAACACAGGCAACCAGCGCTTTTGTTTTGCAAGCAAATCTTGATGCCGTACGCATGCCGTATCCCTGGCCTGGCCGTGGGACAGGGTGTTTACCTAACAGAGATCGCAGGATACAGACATGGCACACCTGCAACACATGCGCTTAGCAGCTATCTGCACCTGCACAGCTATCTGCACCTGGCATGAACGATTTGCTACACCTGTTTGCAAGTTTCATACAAGTTTGTGATGCAGGGATAACTCAGTGGCGACTGCTAAATGCTGTGACGTGCACGTTGAAGATGGATTTTGATACGCACTGCAAAACCTTGTTTAGGCGCCGAAAGGGTCCTTCCGTGTTTGACCCTAGCTGTTCGGCCTTTACTCATTACCAGTACCGTAGGACAGGAGGACAGTAGCTGTTGTCCTTGCTAGGAAGCAAGCTGTTATAATGGGTCACGCTGCTTAGGACGGCAAAGGGCATTCCATCCCGGACAGGGCCGGTGAACACAAGGTCCAAGCTCTGCTGGACCGCAAAAGGGTGATAG